CCCAAGTAGCTGGGACCACAGGGCCCACAACGCGTGGCTATTTTTTTTGGTTGCAGCCGTCATTGTTGTTTGGCGGGCCCAGGCTGGATTCGAACCCGCCACCTTGGGTGTACGTGGCTGGCGCCTTAGCCACTTGAGCCACAGGCGCCAAGCCCCACACTATATTTTTTATGTCTGACCCTGACTCCTACATTTTCTCCTCTCCGCCCAACATTCAGAGGCCTATCTCTGGTCCTTCCCCACCCCCCACTGCATCATCCCTTCTCATCTCTGATTTCAGCTCTCATCCTTATCTGACTGCCCCCTGCAGTCAGCCCTTTGATTTTTCTCAACAGTAGAGTGCCTGAGATCCCTCCACAAAACACAATGCTCTACTCTTCAGAGGGTATAAATCCCAGTCGACAGAATAATTTTTGCTGTCACAGAGTAGCTGAGCCCCTAACCCACAGACAGAACTTTCATGATACATAATCAACTTATCCAAAGCCAGTAGTGTCTCAGCCCACTGACCACAATTTGATCTTGTCCAGTCTTCAATTTTTGAGCTACAATTACAATAATTGGATTTGATAGTATAAAAAAGAAAAAGAAAACAAATCCTTTATGATTGTTTAGAACTAAATTTTATCATTTTACCACAGAAAGGCATTTAACAACCTCCTAAGATTTAAAATACTCAAGATGCTCTGCTTGAATGAAAAAAATTGTGATCCAATCAAAATGCCTCCAACATTAAAAACTCTGGAAACTTTCTTGGTTTACAATTGTGATTCTTGGAAATTTACCACTTTAAATTCTTCAGAATTCTCAAATAACTTTTTCTGACTTCATTTATTTAAATATCCCAGAATAGCCTCTTGAACTATAAATCTGACAATCCAGGAGCCTATTTATAGTGGGATGAGTACTCTCTGTGATTGATGTTAGTTATGTTTTATCTAGAGAAGGACAAATCGTTAAAAAGGTTGATAGGGCAGCTGGTATTTTAAACTAAAAGCAGTACCAAGGCAAACAAAGCAACTGAGGTATTAGGTTGGAAGATAATAAAATATGATCTCAACACCGGATTCCTGGCCAAAAAAAAAAAAAAAAAAGATATGGATGTAGGAGTGGGAGGAAGGAAAAAAAAGATACAATTGTACTTTTTTTAAAAAATTGAGAGTCTCACTTTGTCTCCTTAGGTAGAGTGCTATGGCATCATAGCTCACAGCAATCTCAAACTCTTGGGCTCAAGCGATTCTCTTGCCGCAACCTCCAGAGTAGCCAGGACTACATGCGCTCACAACACTTGGCTATTTTTAGAGACAGGATGGGGGTTTGGGTGGGGGTGGGAGGGTGGTGTCTCATGCTGGCTTAGGCTGGTCTAGAAAATTTGAGCTCAGGCAATCCACCTGCCTCAGTCTCCCAGAGTGCTAGGATACAGGCCTCAGCCACTGTGCCCAGTGATATGAATGTACTTTTTACCAGATTTGCTGACAGCTGGGAAGGCCTTCCAATAGTCAGTAACCCAGATCTTTTAGGTTGACTAGACACTGCAGCTTAGGTATCCTTGGCTGTTTCCCCAGTGCTTAATAACTCAAATAAACAGATGGAGACAGGACTCTGTTATTTACTTATTTTTTGAGACGAGTCTCACTATGTTGCCCTCTGTAGAATGCCATGGTGTCATAGCTCACAGCAGCTTCAAACTCGTGGGCTTAAGTGATTCACTTGCCTCAGCCTCCCAAGTAGCTGGGACTACAGGTACTTGCCACAACGCTCAGCTATTTTTTGTTGCAGTTGTTGTTGTGGTTTAGCAGGCCCGGGTGTTTGAACCTGCCAGCCCCGGTCTATGTGGCCAGCATGCTAACCACTGAACGCGGACGCCAAGCCTAGATTTTTTTTTGTCCGGGACTGGGTTTGAACCCGCCACCTCCGACATATGGGACCGGCACCCTACCTTTTGAGCCACAGGCGCGGCCCCCCACCAAGCCTAGTTGTATATTTTTAGTAGAGACAGGGAGGGGTGGTGAAGTTGTGGTGGGGATCTCACTCTTGCTTAGGGTGGTCTCAAACTGAACTTCTGAGCTCAAGTAATCAATCTACCCACCTCAGCCTCCCAGAATGCTAGGATAATAGGCAGAAGCCACAGCACCCCACCTACATACTACATTTAAAAAAATCCATTCATGGACAACCCGATGGACATTTGGGTTCTTTCCACCTTTGGCTATTGTGATTAAGGTATTTTGGACATGGGTATGTACAAATAATCTGTTTGTCCTTGCTGTTTTTTCCCAGGATTCTCCTTGCTGCCTCCACTCCTTTTACAGGTAGCACCCGGTACTTGTCTTTGAGGGGGAAAACCTCAATTTGTATTAGCCAAAATGTGAGAACTATGTGGTAATTTGCAAGTTTAAAGGAAAACAATCTGGGCTTTCACATTGCTCTCAGAGGCTGAAGTACCTCCCCAGGTAGCAGGAAATGGGAGAAATTTAAAAGAACAAGAGTTGTAGAGAATGTAATTTCACCTTCACTCATTTTTTTTTTTTTTTTTTTTT